AGCCAGCCACCAGCAGGCCTCGGGCCCACCCGCACAGGACACCTCACAGGAGAACGTGGCCACATCCCCCGCAAAGACGTCCACATTCTGCAAGCCACGTACCAGGCATGGCGCTGCCTCTGCACAAGAGGGCAATAGGAGGGCAGGCTGGGTGCCCTGGGCCCACAGGACTATGTAGGGGGTATACCATTTTGGGGATCCCTGGCACTGGGGTTTAGAGATCAACTCGGGCCAGTCCCCCGAGTGCACAAATTTTTGTGCACCGGGCCTCTAGTAGGTAATAAAAGGCTAATATGCAAATTGTCCCCTGGACCAGGAGTTTGACTGGGAGTTTGACCAGGGGGTGAGGCAGGCCAGCCAACCACCCACAGCCCCTCCCCCAATTGGCTGCCCCCAACCTCCCGCATTCCCTCCTCCTGGCTAGCCCGGCCCAATCAACTGCGATTGGGGCGGTCCGGTGGGACCCCTATCAGTGCACGAACTCATGCACCAGGCCTCTAGTATATAGATATATAGATCATAAAGCTGGAACCAATTAGGAGGCTATTAAACTAATCTAGGTGAGAAATGATAGTGGTTTGAACCAGAGTGACAGCGGTGGAGATAGATTAGGTAGTCTACTTTTTATTTGTGCCCCCAGCTCCAGTAGAGACCACATTTGGAGCAGCAGTTGCAACAGAAATCACCAAATGAATAAATTTATAATACTCCATTGCTCTTCTTCAGGACCTTTCCAAAATGGTAGGATTCTGGATATATCTTAAGAGTGGGGCTGACAGGATTTTGTTAATGAATTGGATGTATACAGAGAAAGTGAAGAGTGAAAGATAATCTTTAATTAAGGCTGCTGGCTGAGCAATCGAAAGAATGGTATTGCCATTTACCAAGATGCAGAGGACAGAAGGAGAGCAAATCAGGAGTTTGGTTGTTCAGTCTAATAAAACGTAAATGTTTATGAATGGTATAGTTATATGTCTAACTGTTGAAAATGGCTAGCTCCAAGTCTAACAAACATATTATATTCACCATTAAACAGTCCAAATCTCCAAGTCTGAATGTAATATCTCCTCCCTCTGTATCACTACTTTTTTTTCCATTACTTATAACATTTATTACCTTTTATGTATTATAACTATTGGTGTATGTCATATGTCATAGAACTTAGGCACTCTGAGAGTAGAGTTCATGGTTTATAATTGTATAATATTACAAAGAGTCATCATTTATTGAATATATTTACCAATTAGCTAACTTAATCCTTCTATTATCACTTCCTTTATTAGTATTTAACACATAAGAAAATTCAGGTTCAGAGATAATAAGTAACTGATGAAAAATTACACAGCTAATAAATAGGCTGACATTTAAACTCAGGTTTATCTGAATCTAAAGCCAATGCTTCATACTGTCATTAATCAACCTCGGTACCTAATTTAAAGCCTTGCCTACAAAAGGCACCTAACATATTTGTATTAAGTAAATAACTAGATAAAAAAAAGTTAACTGTCTTGGGACAGAAGGTAAATTGGAATCAGACTAATGATCTGATCAGAACTGGAAGGCACAGGAAAAGAGATAAGAAAATCCTTAATAAGGTTTACAAAGCTTGGCATAATTTAGCCAATGCCTATCAGGCAGGCCATCCATATTGACCTTCTTGGATGCCTTAAACCAGGGGTCCTCAAACTTTTTAAACGGGGGGCCAGTTCACTGTCCCTCAGACCATTGGAGGGCCGAACTATAGTTTTAAAAAAAATTATGAACGAATTCCTATTCACACAGCGGCGGCAAAAACACCCGGCGGGCCGGATAAATGTTTTCGGCGGGCCGCATGTGGCCCGCAGGCCGTAGTTTGAGGACCCCTGCTTAAACCTTCCATGTTTCTTTTCTCCTAAAAGTTGCTAAGACATAGTTCTAAGAACCTCTTACTTTTCCCTAAGTTAATTCCATTCATCCTTCAGAGCTATGCTCAAATATCACTTCTTCAAGGTAACTGTACTTGACTGCCTCCTCTCACTTGAACTAATTTCTGTAATAAGCTCATAATACCCCTCACTTCTTTACTAATCACAATATAAATAAATATGTACTTAGTACCTCTCTTCCCTACAAGAATATAAGCTGCATAAGGGCAGGATCCTTATATGTCAAGTTTATTGCAGTAATTAATATATGTTTTAAATTATTTATAATACTTATTATAAATTATTTATATTCAACAAATCCTATATAATAAAAGCCTAATATGCTAAGTGTCCGGTTGTCCAGTCTCCCGTTCAACCAATCAAAGCATAATATGCTAATGATATACTTAGCATAATGATATACTTAGCATAATGATATGCTAAGGCCTCTCAATGCTTGCTATGACGTGTACTGACCATCAGGGGGCAGACAGTTGACCAATAGGTTAGTTTGCTGCTGGGGTCCAGCCAATTGGGACTGAACAAGATGGGCCGGACACACCCTGGAGCTGTCCCACAACCCTCTCCCGTGTCCCTCCCAGCCCTGATCTTGCACTGGTGGGGTACCTTGGCCTGGCCTGTGCTCTCTTACAATCCAGGACCCTTCAGGGGATGTCAGAGAGCTGGTTTCGGCCGACAGCGGAATGACCAGTCCCTATGACGCGCACTAACCACCAGGGGGCAGACGCTCAACGCTGGAGCTGCCCCCCAGGTGGTCAGTGTGCTTCCACAGTGGGAGTCCTGCTTAACCAGAACCCGGACTCACGATTGGCGAGTGCAGCAGTGCTCACACTGCCTCTGCAGCAGCGCTAAGGATGTCCAACTGATGGCTTATACCTGTGAATGGGCCTAAGCCGTCAGTCGGACATCTGTCGAGGGCTCCCGGACTGCGAGAGGGTGCAGGTCGGGCTGAGGGACCTCCCCAAGTGCACAAATTTCATACACTGGGCCTCTAGTATTTAATAATAAAGACAACCAGTGTGACTCAATAGTTGAGCATTGACCTATGAACCAGGAGATCATTGTTCGATTCCCTGTCAGGGCACATGCCCAGATTGCAGGTTTGATCCCCAGTAGAAGGCATGTAAGAAGCAGCTTACCATGATTATCTCTCATCTCCCTCTCCCTTCCTCTCTGAAGTCAATAAAAATACATTTTTTAAAAAAGTAAAGACAGCCATTACAGATTATCACAGAGTAGATTATATCAGGCCAATTCTCCTGGCTTTCTTAACTATAAAAACTGGATTTAAAAACAAAATTAACAAAGAAAGCAACCAGCATGTGAGAAGCTAAAATACCAGAGAAAAAGGAAATGCAGAGTTAAGTCTGACAGTCTCCATTTCTTTTTCCTTCTGAGGAAACTAACTGCAGACCAGAGTTTTTGGCAGTCTCACAGGACTGCAGAGACAGAGATTAGAGTTCAGGATTTAGCGAGGCAGGCAGGATTTGAGGAGCTAAGATTCCAGAGAAAAGGCAACCACAGAAAAGTGAGCCTGGACATCCTGTACTGCTCTTCCCTTCAGGGTATTCACTGAATCCTAACCTGCATGGGAGTGAGAGGCCAAAAGCTAAGCAAAGTCCCTATTTTGAAGCAAAAAGGGTAAGCAGAACTTTTGGTAGCCTCACAGTGCTAGAAAAAGAAAAATTACAGTTCAGGGCCTGCCAAGAAGAGAGGCCCTGGCAAACACCCCAGGATTCCATTTGATACCTCTGAAAGACAACACTCTTGGAGTAAGGGGAAACTGGATTTAAATCAGCTCTTAAGAGGCCTAAAACAAAGAATCAAGTCATCTCAACCCTGTATTGGATCAAGGTCATCTGCTCCTACTTTTAACTACCACCAGAAGAAAATTAAATCCTCTCTAGAGAACAATATCATCATCAAGACCCTCTATAATTTCTTATACACAATGTCTGACATTGATTTTTTTAAATAACCAGGAATGTTATGAGACAGGATCAAATGACTAAAAGTCAAGGCAGAAATCAGACAATAGAAAAAGACCAAAAGGGGATCTAGATATTGTAATTATCAGACACAGACTTTAATAGGTGATTGATATGTTCAGGAAAATAGAGGCAAAATGAGAATTTCACCAGGAAACTGGGATCTATAAAAAAAATTAAATGGAGATTCTAGAATTTAAAAAATACATAATAGGAAATTATTAAACAGATGCTTGTAACAGCAGATTGGACACTAAGTGAACTAGAAAACAGAAATTATCCAGATCAAGTACGGGGGGAAAAAAAGATGAAAAATACAGAAAAGTACAGGAAACATATTTGATGCAGAGAAAAAATTAACACACAGATAACTAGAATCCCAGAAGAAAGTGAAAGAGTGGAGCAGAATTAATATCTTGACAAGATAACAAGCTACAAATTAAGAGGGTCTATGGAACTTAAGCATCTCAAAATACAAAGAAAACCACTGAAAAGCATTATTTGAAAGCTGATGAAAATGAAAGACATTGCTTCTATAACAAAAACAACTGAATCAGAAGACAATGGGATGATGAAAGAAAATAAATGCCAACCTAGAATTCTATGTCCAATAAAAATATCCTCCAAAAATAAAGACAAAATTTAAAAATGCTTTCAGAAAAAAACTACCAGTAGATTCACACTAAAAAAATAGGAATTACCTATGAAGAAAATCATCTCATAGGAAAGCATCCTAATCCTAATATATAAAAACCCAGGGTCTGTAATGTCCAAAATGACTGAAGGCTCAACTGACCGGAAGTCAGTTCTCCAGTCAGTGCTGGGTTGCCGTGGAGACCAGCACTGACTGCCACTGCTGTGGGCGCGGCGACCCAGCACTGACTGCCGAGGGGGCTGCATATCAGGCCCGGAGAGAGGCCTGCAGAGAGAAGCAGGGTCTGATCCAGAGCCTCTGTGGCAGCTGCTGATCAACACTTGCCTCTCTCCGTCTCTCTGGGCCTGGCCAGCAGCCCCACCTCGATTTCTCTCCGGGCCTCCGCTGATGCTGCTGATCAGCCCCACCTCTCTGATCAGGCCCAGAGATAGGCTCAGAAGCGCTGACTGGCATAGAAACTGACCAATCAGAACCAAATCTGGGTGAGCCAATGGCTGCCTAGGAGGCGGAGCTTTTGATGCTGACTGGCATGGAAACCGACCAATCAGAACCAAATCTAGGTGAAGTGCGAGGAGCCAATGGCTGCCTAAGAGGCGGAGCTTTTGACACTGACTGGCATAGAAATCAAACAATCAGAACCAAATCTGGGTGAACTGTGATGAGCCAATGGCTGCCTAGGAGGCAGAGCTTTTGGCACTGACTGGCATAGAAATTGACCAATCAGAACCAAATCTGGGTGAACTGTGAGGAGTCAATGGCTGCCTAGGAGGCAGAGCTTTTGACATGGACTGGCATAGAAACTGACCAATCAGAACCTAATCTGGGTGAACTGCGAAGACATAACCAAAGGTGGGGGTGGAGGAGGGGTTTTAAGGGCAATAGCTGTTTGGTGTAAGGTGTAAGAAAGTGGTTCAAATTTTTAATGACTGGTTTGGCAGTATAGTGCATATGGCTATCAGTCCAGATACAGGGATTATGTATTTCTGTCTGCCCATAGCATCTCCTCCTGCTGATAAAGGCTTTCCCTCCTCATTTAAGCAATTCTATCCTATATAATCTATCTATACTAATAAAAGGGTAATATGCTAATGAGATCGGG